TAGCCGGGCCGAGGCGGGGTAGCGGAGCGCCCTGTTATTCCAAGCTACTGCAGGCAGGCTGAGGCAGTGATGAATGGCGTGGACCCGGCGGCGGAGGAGCTTGCAGTGAGCTGAGATCGCGCACTGCACTCCAGCCTGGGGCACAGAGCACAGACTCCGTCTCAAAAAAAAAAAAAAAAAAAAAAAAGAAATTAAAATTACTAGAAATAGAAAATTAGTAAAGTTTTACATTAAAAGAAAGTCAGCCCAGAGGGTACATAAAGGAAAAGGACAACTGATAGCAGAAGAGCAGAACAAAGGGAGGGAACAGAAAATGTCACAAGCACCGTTTATAAGGTTTCTGTCAATAAGAAAATGGTTAACACATTTTAGAAAGACTCGAAATCATCAGAAACAGTTAAAATAAAAACTGGTGCTTAAAAGTTTCAGTTACTTCATCACCTCATTCACTGACACTGCCAGGTAAATGAGGCATGACCATTACAATCTGTCCACATAAAACTATTCCTAACAAAAAACTTCACACTAAAAAAATCCATATACAATATTTCTTTCAATGCAGCTTCCTGACAGTTCTATTCAGCCAGTAACCTTCATTATTCAATTAATACAAACCATATTTCATGCTGCTCCAGTTGGTGGCATCATTATCAAATTTACTAAAAATAATTAACAGGAACATCCTACTTAAGAAACCCATCAACAGGGTGCAGTGGCTCACGCCTGTAATCCCAGCACTTTGGGAGGCCGCGGTGAGCGGATCACCTAAGGTTGGGGGTTTGAGACCAGCCTGACCAACGTGGAGAAACCCCATCTCTACTAAAAACACAAAATCAACCGGGCGTGGTGACGGGTGCCTATAATCCCAGCTACTCAGGAGGCTGAGGCAGGAGAATCGCTTGAACCCGGGATGCGGAAGTTGCAGTGAGCCAAGACTGCGCCACTGCACTTCAGCTTGGGTGACAGGAACGAAACTCCACCTCAAAAAAAAGAAAAAAGAAACCCACTGACTGATGTTGGTTATTAAGGTAAAAAAGTTCAGGAAGAATTGTTTTTATCAAGTGAAGACTCATCTTCTTGCTCAAATCAGGCTAATCCAAGGAGATGGCCTCTCTCCGGCCAAACATGTGCCCGCTGTGGACTCCCGCAGAGACACCGCCCGCCTGTTCCACTCTTTAGATAAAACGACTGCTATACTCGGTTATTAGGATGATCACTGACTATTTTGTTGACAGATTCCAATGCATGCTCAGAACTAAAGCGAAATCTCATATATTAAAGACTTTCACTCTTTTTTCTTTTTTTTTTTTTTTTGAGACGGAGTCTCGCTCTGTCACCCAGGCTGGAGTGCAGTGGCCGGATCTCAGCTCACTGCAAGGACTTTCACTCTTAACAGTTAAAGTGAAAAAAATTCTACAGGAACTGGATCTGGTTACGGCATTTCCAATGCAGGCACAAGGGATGAACCGCAGGGCTGACCCCGCCAGTCCCCTGGTAATCAATGCTGGGTGTACCACTAACATTGCCTCGCATTCTCTGAACAAACCAATAAAGCAAAAGTGATTCCCACTTTATGGATAACGAAGACTCAGAATGTGACTTGTGCAAGGCCACAGAGTAAACAGATGAGCTGAGATTCAAACCTTGGTAAACACGAGCTTGACAGCCAGTGCTCTGTCTACCGTAATATGTGACACTCTCTAAAGTTAGCAAAATCACGTTTATTATACCCACACTGTAATCCACATACTTGCAGGCAATTAATAAACTTGAGTGGAAGATTAAACCATCTGAAAATAAACATCAAAAATGTATCGCTAATCCTTGGCAATTCTTGTAGCTAAGCAATCACCAAAATATTTCATAACTCAAAAGATGTTTTATCATCAAACATAAGAATTAACTCCCTGGGAGGAAAGGAACAAAATTCTCAGAATTTTTTCTTTCTTTTTTTTTTTTTTTTTAGTAACAGGGTATTTGTTTCCAAAATAAACATCTCAAGACACAAAACAGTGTGGGAAAGAATCATTCCCTACGTGGTGGACATTTCCCTACTGCATCACACTCAGTGCTAAGTACTCGCTGGCTTCGCACGGCACATAATGGTGCTTGGGGAAAATGCATCTGCTCTTGACACTGACATACTCGAAGGATTTCCTACCCAGTGATGAGCAAAATTTTCCTCTCTACCAGCCAGCAAGCTCACCACTCCAACACACGGCTTATAAGGATACTCGTATTAAAACCTTTGCCCAAAAAGGACAAAGCTGGCACAGGACCACAACTTGATGTAACTACATTCCACCAACTAGGAGCAATTTGTGAACGGCAAAAATGTAGCATAGACAATAATGGTATGACAACGCATCATCAAAAGGGGAAAAATATAGATTAAGATGGAGCGAAATGAGTAGATTCTCTCTTTGATATCTACATGTAAGTAACAAAAAAGTGGCCATGGCAATGTACTTCAATCAAGTCAACCATCCCTCCAGAGAACTAACGCTTTGACACTTTGGAAAGCTTTCATTCCTCACTGGAACTCTACCTCTATACAGATTTCACTCTGTCAAAAATGACCATTGCAAAGCAAAATCAGTCATGATTCACTTAGGACTTACGAATTAGTAAGACTATGGAAAAAAAACAAACAAAAAAACCAGTATTGTTTTTCCTTTGACAAGCTAATTCATCAGGATTAAGATGTTTTGTTCTCGGCAGGGCGCAGTGGTTCACGCCTGTAATCCCAGCACTTTGGGAGGCCGACGCGGGTGGATCACAAGGTCAGGAGATCGAGACCATCCTGGCTAACACGGTGAAACCTCGTCTCTTACTAAAAATACAAAAAAAACAAAAAATTAGCCAGGCGAGGTGGCGGGCGCCTATAGTCCCAGCTACTCGGGAGGCTGAGGCAGGAGAATAGCGTGAACCTGGGAGGCGGAGTTTTCTGTGAGCCGAGATCGCGCCACTGCACTCCAGCCTGGGCGACAGAGCGAGACTCCTTCTCAAAAAAAAAAAAAAAAAGAGAAAAAGATGTTTTGTTCTCAAGTCTATCATTTCTACACTCTTCCAACTACTAACAATGCATTCAAAATATAGCTACAATTTCAAATAACTTTGCTAGAACACAATGAAACTTTATCAATTTATCATAATAGAGGTCTAGCCTGTTAAAGTGAACACCCCGAATCTAAGAATATGTTTAAACATTTACGGTTTTGCTACTATCCTCATGTCTGTGGTAGGATACAAAGGCAAAACCTTCCTAGCACAATTCCTGGAGCAAGTGACCCACTGAACAAGCAAACACACAAGTGCTTACAGGTAAAAGGTGCTTCTTCACACAAAGTACCGCCTTTGCAGCCTTTCCTCCCGGAGCCCTGTTGGCACTGTGAATGGCCAAACCAACAAGGCGCAGGGAACAGCTCTTGAGCGCTTCCTCTGACCCAGTGATCAAATTCTGAATCATGCACCCTGTGAGTACAGACTAGAGAAGCCTTTGAGAATTGTGGGAACAAGGTGAGAAAGTCTTCAAAAATGACTTGGATAAAAATAAAACTGCCTGCAAGGAAAAATATAAAATACACTTCTTCCTACCTCTTTGGATTCCTTTGTGTAACAAGCTCCAGCCACTCTTGTCCACCATGTCCACGTCAGCTTTGTGACTAACCAGCGTGGTGGCAATACTCTCCAGCCGTCGTGAAAGGGCTAGATCTAATGCCAGATCTCCATTATGATCCGCTTCGTTCAGCTTCCCAGGGAGCTACACGAACACGTTTGTGAATTAGCGCCCAGTGGGTAGAGAATACGACCTATTTTCATTTCTCCCACCTTGACCCTTAAATATCATCGCTTATACAAATGTCAAATTTAAGTACTTCAACACTGCTTACTCCCCAAATTCAACTGCATTCATAAACTTCTATCAGGCTTCCTCAGGGTACATGTTTTCAGGGAGTACTGTATTAATGGGGACCACAAAGCAAACATAAACAATGTGGGAGATGATGTAAGGGCCACCAGGAAAATGTGGACAGAGTGCTGTGGGGCACAAGTGCCAGGCAGAGGTTCCGAGAGCTTTATAGTGAACAGCTAATGCTTCCATGAAAGGCAGTGGCGTGCTTATCTCATGTTTCCCAGCAGTTTAATGTCTCCCCATACACTGGACACCCAGGATAAAACATACTTCGTTCCCATCTGTCAAGAGCCATTACCTTTCTTTCAGGGTCATGTGATGGGCAGAATTATAGCCCCCCAAAGATGGACATGTCCGAATCCCCAGAACCTGTAAACATGTCACATTACACGGCAAAAGGCGCTTTGAGGGTATGATTAAGGACCTTGCAATGAGGAGAGTATCCCAGATTATCCAGGAGGCCTGATCTATCTAACCACAGAGGGCCCTATCTATCTAACCACACACATCCTTCAAAGGGAAAAAGGGAACCAGAAGAACAAGTCAGAGAGATGTGACATGAGAAGCACCTGACCCACCACTGCTGGCTTTTAAGGCAAAAGCCGGGGGCTATGAGCTAAGGGCTATGAGCTAAGGGCTATGAGCTAAGGAATGTGTGGCGGGCTCTAAAAGGTGGGAATGGCCCTCAGTTGACGGCCGGCAAGAAAAATGGGGACCTCGATCCTGTAAGCGCAAGAATCTGAATTTTGCCAAAAACCCAAATGAGTAGGAAATGGATTCTCCTCTTGAGTCTCTGGAAAGAAGCACAGCCTGCTGACACCTTGATTTTGGGCCAGTGATTCCTGTCCTGGACTTCCAACCTACAAAACTCTTATGCAATACATTTGTGTTGTTTTAAGCCATTAAGTTTATGGTAATTTATTATAGCAGCAAAAGTAAACTAATACAGATTTTGGCACCTGGAAGTTAAGAAGCATTAAAAAAACAAACAAACAAAAAAAAAAAACACTACCTAAAAGCATATAAGAGGTTTTTAAATTAGGCAATGGGCTAAGGCTGGAAGAATTTTGAGAAACATGTTAGAAAAAGCTCAGATAGCCCTGAACAAACTATTCAGTAGAAATCCGTACATTAAAGACTGTGCCAGTGACAGCTCGGAAGAAGTGAGCAGCAGCCTGGAGAAAGACAAGCGCATTAGCGTTCCGGGAAATGAAGAATGGAAAAGGTGGCTACAGTACCTGGGAATCCATTTCAATCAGATAAAGGAAGACCACGTCTTCTCTCTCCACTTTGATAGCTTTATGTAACGGGTACTCCGTCTTGGATTTGATCATTTTGTATAACAACTGAGCACTCATGCTACTGAAATCCTCCTTTCTCAGGTCATCCTGACAATTCACAACATAGTAAAAAGCAGAGCAGATACAAAGCGATAAACACAACTACCATTTAGTACGCCCTTAAAACGCGCCAGTCAGGCCCTACTTGAAGGGCCTAACCTTTGCTGACTCATTTACTTCTCCCCAAAACCCAATGAGGTAAGAACTTGATCATCCCCATTTTACAGAAGAAAAAAGTAAAGGCATAAAGAGATTAGATAACTTGCTCTAGTTCAGACAGTCCTCAAATGGCTGGGGAACCAGAAGGCTGACGTGCTGAGCCTCACTCTTTCCCCTGGCACTACTGTGCCTCCCAGTGAGGTGGCAAAGCCAAGCCACGCGTACCTCTAACAGGAATGCACCCCGAGGGAGCCTCACGTGAGAGCAGGGAGTCCTCTTCCCACCCCCCGAAAGATGGCAGTTAGAAAATCAATTCAATCAACTCCAACTTCCACAAGCAAGTCACTCTGCTGAGTCACAGCTCGTCCCCATTATTGCAGATCTCTATATTTCTATATATTTTAACAGAAAGGTTACCAACTCGGTTTCAATTCCTTAAAATCCAGCTCTTCTAGCCACCTTTTCTGAAACTCTAACGCTTTTCCTATGATGTTGTTGAACGCTAAACAATTCACAGAAACTAATTTGTAAAAGGTAGCACCAGCCCTAATTTTTTAAAACTGCAAACAACAACAAAAAAATGTGAACCACTGGCTGGGTGCGGTGGCTCACACCTATAATCCCAGCACTTCGGGAGGCCGAGGTGGGTGGATCACCTGAGGTTCGGAGTTTGAGACTAGCCTCACAAACATGGAGAAACCCCGTCTCTACTAAAAATACAAAAATTAGCCGGGCGTGGTGGCGCATGCCTGTAATCCCAGCTACTCAGGAGGCCGAGGCAGGAGAATTGCTTGAACCTGGGAGGCGGAGGTTGTGGTGAGCTGAGATTGTGCCATTGCACTCCAGCCTGGGCAACAAGAGCGAAACTCATCTCAAAAAAAAAATAATAATAAAAATAAAAAATGTAAACACTGTTCTTTATGATGAAACAACCTAAGAAAGGGAAATCTAAATTTAAAGATGCTCTCCACCTGATGAGGAGAACAAGGCCAAGCTCAGAAACCGTGCTGCTGAAACTGTAGGGCCTGCTGGCCACGGAGCCACACCCTAGTCCTGCAGCTCATCAGCCGCTTCCACAGATGGAGGGAGAAGGCAGGCGATGCTTTCAAGCCTGTTTCTGGACCTGAGCTATCTTTTTTGCGGGGGCAGGAGACGGAGTCTCGCTCTGTCACCCAGGCTGGAGTGCAGTGGCACGATCTCGGCTCATTGCAACCTCCGCCTCCCGGGTTTATACGATTCTCCTGCCACAGCCTCCTGAGTAGCTAGGACTACAGGCACGTACCACTGAGCCTGGCTAATTTTTGCATTTTTAGTAGAGGTGGGGTTTTACCATGTTGGCCAGGCTGGTCTCGAACTCCTGATCTCAAGTGGTCCGCCCGCCTCGGCCTCCCAAAGTGCTGGGATTGCAGGCGTGAGCCACCGCACCTGGCCAGACCTGAGCTATCTTTTGTCCTTCTGCTCTGAAATCACGGAACTGTCAGAATTTGAGTTGAAAAGAGTCTCACAGATCATCTAATCAAACGATTTATTCTTCAATTGTGTAACAGGAGAAAACTAGCTGCCAGAGGTCACTTTCCATGGAACTAGGTCCCAAGCCACGGTCTCTCCACTGCCAGCTACCTCACCCTCTCACTCACCCAATGACTTGCAATAATTTCTGCACAGTAGTTCATCAGCGTGCTGGCGTTCAGCTCCTCCGCCGTCTGGTAGAAGCGGATACAGTTCCTGACATTCACTAGAGACATAACGCCCTTCTCACACCTGGAAGAGAGTATGCATGACGAGCAGTATTACTGGACAAACATGTTCACAAACGAACAAACCAAAGCGATCGTCTGTGTACTGGCTGGCTACGTCCTATTAATAACACTATGGGGTAAGGGTAAGCTAAGTAGCTATGAATAAAGTACAGTTGGTCTCCCATATTTAAAAAGTACTAGAATTTCATTATATTATTTCATTGCTCAGTTCTGGTCAGAATCAAAATAACCTGCAAATAAACTTAGTAAGCATAATACCCCAACTGCCTTAACAGTACACACATGACACTCGCTGATCACATAGACAGGTAACTGTCGAATCAAGCACAAAATGGATCAACCTCTGTCCTTCAAAGAAAATTTAATTGTATGGAACACTGCTTTAGTTCCCACTAGAACAACTGTATTATGCAAACAGTGTGGCTTAGAAATAGTTTCAAATACGAGGCTCTATGCCTCAATAATTAACACCTCCTTAAAAGCTTTCCCTGCCGGGTGCAGTGGCTCACACCTGTAATCCCAGCACTTTGGGAGGCCGAGGTGGGCAGATCATCTGACGTCAGGAGTTCGAGACCAGCCTGACCAATGTAGAGAAACCCCGTCTCTACTAAAAACACAAAATTAGCCGGGCGTGGTGGTGCATGTCTATAATCCCAGTTACTCGGGAGGCTGAGGCAGGAGAATAGCTTGAACCCGGGAGGCGGAAGTTGCAGTGTGCTGAGATCGCGCCATTGCACTCCAGCCTGGGCAACAAGAGCAAACTCCTTGTCTCAAAAAAAAAAAAAAAAAAAAAAAGCTCTCCCATAAGAATGTATGTGTCATGGTATGTGAATTGTTTTTTTCTTTTTTTTTTTGAGACGGCATCTTGCTCTGTCACACCCAGGCTGAGTGCAGTGGCCGGATCTCAGCTCACTGCAACGCTCCGCACCCCGGGTTTTCACTGCCATTCTCCCTGCCTCAGGCCTCCCGAATGTAGCTTGGGAACTAACAGGCGCCCGCCAACCCTCGCCCGGCCTTAGTAATTTTTGTATTTTTTTATAGAGAACCAGGGGTTTTTTCACCATGGGGTTCAACCCCAGGGATGGGTCTCGATCTCCTGACTTCCGTGATCCCGCCCCATCTTCCGGCCCCCTCCCAAAGTGCTGGGGATTACAGGCCCCTGAGCCACCCCGCGCCCCCGGCCTGGGGGGTTATGTGCCATTGCTAACAATTAGCCCTGGGTATTTTAAAAAAAGCCCACCTAGGAAATCAACCCCTAAGGTCCCCCAGGAGTTGAAGACCAGCCCTGGACCACAAGGGTGAAACCCCGTCTCCCTACAAAAAATACAAAAATTAAGCCTGGGGTGGGTGGTGGGCAAGGGCCCACCTGGTAAAACGTCCCCCCCCCAGCGACTTTGAAGGTCTGAAGGAACAGGAAGAAAACTGCCCTTTGAACCCAGGGGAAAGGCCGGAGATTGGGGCAGTGAGCCCCCCCAAGATTGGGCGCCCACTTGGCCATCCCAGCCCGGCCGATGGAGCGAAGAACTCCCTAAAAAAAAAAAAAACCAACCGCAATTCCTAAAATATTCTTAATAATGGTTTCAAGAAAAAAAAATAAGCCAAATTCCCGCCAGGCAAAATGGTGGCCTCCACCCCACCCTATAAATACCCTACAGGGCCCACTTTTGAGAGGCCCGAGGCAAGCAGAAAGATTGCCTGAAGCTCAGGAGTTCCAGATCAAGCCTGGGCAACACGGTGAAAACCCCCGTCTCTAACAAAATAACAAAAACAATTAGCTGGGCCGCTGGGGTCGAACACGCACCTGGATCAGTTCCTAGAAAATACTCCGGAGGCCTTGGAGAACACAAAGAAATTGCCTTTGAAACCCGGGATTTGCCAAAAAGGAGGTTTGGCCCAGTGAGCTTTGAGGACGGGTTTGGCCACTGCCATTCAAAGCCCTGGGGGTGACAGAAGGCAAAAGACCTCGTCTAAAAAAAAAAAAAAAAATTAAAAGAAAGAAATAGCCCAAATCATAGTACACCCCCCACACCAAAAAAATCAGATTTCTACTATAACAACAAAACCACAGTACACCAAAATAGGGAAAAACTGGCTACAGTGGATGTCCTCATAGAGCCAAGTAATAACAAAAACAAGACTCTTTCAGAATCATTAATAAGGAAACATGGCCAGGTGCAGAGGCTCACACCTGTAATCCCAGGACTCTGGGAGGCCAAGGCAGGAGGGTTACTTGTGGCCACGAGTTCAAGACCAGCCTGGGCAACATAGCAAGATCCTGTCTCTACCAAAACAATTGAGATATTAGCCAGGCATGGTAGCGTGTCCCTGTAGTCGCAGCTGCTCAGGAGGCGGAAGTGAGAGCTCAGGAGTTGAAGGCTACAGTGAGCCGTGATCACACCACTGTACGCCTGCCTGCATGACAGACAGAGACCTTGTCTGAAAGGAAAAAAAAGAACATCAACTACATCATAGGAGAGAGAGCTGAAGGCAGGCAAACAGGTCTCTGGTAGCAAAAGCAGGACCACATCGTAGTCTGGAAGCTGCCGCATTGGAAAGACCACACTTCCTCTATGCCGTAATTCCTGGAAGCCTTAGGGAGTCTCCCATGAAACCAGGTCTATGAGGAAAAGAAGGCCAGGGCACAGTCCTTCACCTCCCCTGCCTCCACAGCTCCCTCCAAATCAGGTTCACCTCCAAGGGCAGCCGCAGAGGACTAGTATGGTTCACGAGATTTCCTGACGTTCAGCACTGTTTTCCCTGCCAGCAGCCTCCACCAAAACTCTTTCTAATCACAAAGGCAGAATGCGGTGGACAGAGCAAAATAAACAATGAGGTAAAAAAGACCTGAGTAGAGACACATGGCAATTTAGGGGCCAAATGACTTGAGCTCTCTGTGCCCCTGTCTCCTCCTCTGTAAAATAAAGATGTTACTCTACTTCAGATGTTTGAGGAATACTTGTGTGTTTGCCACAAGTATTGGAGGAGAACTGGTTACACTCAACACAGCTGGAGGCATGTAGTAAATATGCTCGCAAGTTTGAGGTCCCTCCCCTAGCCCCTCTCGTCTCTAAAGCCTGAAATTCCTTTACGAAGGAAAAAGCACAAAAGGAAATCACATAATTTTAATAACCCACATTAGTGGATTTCAGTACTGTTAACCATAACTAGCTAGCAGGTAGTTCCCAATGGTAACAGATGAGCTTTAGGTAACAGATGTAGAAAAAGACCATGATCGGAATGGGTGATGGCGGAAGGAAGGTCATGAGAAAGACCTGGGCAGAACGCAGACCACACTTTTTTTTTTTTTTTTTTTTGAGAGGGGGTTTTATTCTTTTTGCCCAGGCTGGAGTGCAGTGGTGTGATCTCAGCTCACTGCAAGCTCCGCCTCCCGGGTTCAAGCGATTCTCCTGCCTCAGCCTCCCGAGTAGCTGGGACTACAGGCACGTGCCGCCACACCCAGCTGATTTTTGTATTTTTTTTTTTTAGTAGAGACAGGGTTTCTCTATGTTAGCCAGGATGGTTTCAATCTCCTGATTTTGTGATCCACCTGCTTCGGCCTCCCAAAGTGCTGGGATTACAGACGTGAGCCACCGCGCCCCATCTCAGAACACCCTTTCTAAACCTCACGAAGGAGAGGCTAGGAGCAAGAACACAATCTTGGCCTCATTTCTCTATTTAGCAGTAAATGCAATCACCTGCTTTACACTAAGACCTGTCAAAGCTTTGGGGTTTTTTGTTGTTGTTGCTGGTGTTTTCTGAGGCAGAAGTTTGCTCTGTCGCCCAGGCTGGAGTGCAGTGGCGTGATCTTGGTTCACTGCAATCTCTGCCTTCTGGTTTCAAGCTATTCTCCTGCCTCAGCCTCCAGAGTAGCTTGGATTACAGGCGCCCACCACCACACCCGGCTAATTTTTATATTTTTAGTAGGGACAGGGTTTCACCGCGGCCAGGCTGGGTGCTTTGTTTTTAATTAACATTACTGACTTGGTGTAAGGAAGCATCTCTCCCAGGGCACTTTAAAAATCATGTTGTTACATTATCTAAGTAAGTTACATTAGTAAGTTATAATAATAAACAAGAATGTAAGTTACGTACAACAGCATTATATTGCCTTTTTTTTTGAGACGGAGTCTCACTCTGTCGCCCAGGCTGCTGTGCAGTGGCGCGATCTCGGCTCACTGCAAGCTCCGCCTACCGGGTTCATGCCATTCTCCCGCCTCAGCCTCCCATGTAGCTGGGACTACAGGCGCCCGCCACCACGCCCAGCTAATTTTTTGTATTTTTAATAGAGACAGGATTTCACCGTGTTAGCCAGGATGGTCTCGATCTCCTGACCTCGTGATCCACTCGCCTCGGCCTCCCAAAGTGCTGGGATTATAGGCATGAGCCACCGCGCCCCGCCAACAGCATTATATTTCTAAGCCTCAGTTTTCTGTACCATCGGTTTCTCCAAACCTGCAGCACACCACAGCAATGCCTGACAAAGTCACTCTAACCTCAGCCATGAAATCAGAGCATCCCAGGAGAAAAAAATCTCTTTTCAGATAGCTTTTACCATTTTTACAACTAACATCAATCAGCCTTCCTAACATCCTAACACCAGGCAGCCTAATACACAGGAAGATCTCAGGGAGTAAATGACGCACATTTGTAAAGCACTTTACAAAGCACTTTTACAGACAAATGCTGACAACCTGAAAATTCCATGCTCCTCCTTTTTAACTGTCAAATGACATTGCGCCAAGGGACTCAGATATGTTTCATGAAGGCAGATCTTTTATTAAAGCTGGCAGACATTTCACTGTCACCAATTCTAGGATCTCCAGAGTGCCATTTGCCATTTGGATAGATTATAAATAGTAACTGACATGATTTACGCAACCAAAGAATATGTCATCTTATTTAGAAATTTAGATTCTTGCTTCCTATATTCTCTTTGAAAACAGCAAGACAGACAAACTTTCACCCGAAGGGAATTTTTTAATTATTATTTTTAACTTTAGAGTACAGAAAGGATACAGATATAGAAAAAAAAAAAAATTTTTTTTTTTTGAGACGGAGTTGCACTCTTGTAGCCCAGGCTGGAGTGCAGTGGCGCGGTCCAGGCTCACCACAACCTCCGCCTCCTGGGTTCAAGAGATTCTCCTGCCTCAGCCTCCTGAGTAGCTGGGATTACAGGTGCCCGCCACAATGCCTGGCTAATGTTTTTGTATTTTTAGTAGAGACAGGGTTTCACCATGTTGGCAACTTTTAAAGTACACAATCAAGCATATATTTAAACGTCCCACAAACTCCTGTCTAGTTTTCATATCACTCTTGAGTGGATGTGGGAAAAAGAAAAATTATTGAAAAGAAAAATGACAGAAGAAGAACAATGATTTAGTTACAAATGACGTTTTTCTTTATATCATTTTGTATTTTCCAAATATCATACACTGAACATGTATTATACTTTTGTAAGCAGAAAAAAATTAACTCATTTTTTTAGTATACATTAATTCTCTCTTTAAAAAAATTAGCTGGGCACGGTGGCTCATGCCTGTAATCCCAGCACTTTGGGAGGCTGAGGTGGGCAGATCACCTGAGGTCAGGAGTTTGAGGCCAGCCTGGCCAACATGGCAAAACCTCATCTCTACTAAAAATATAAAAATTAGCCGGGTGTGGTGGCAGATGCCTGTAACCCCAGCTACTCAGGAGTCTGAGGCAGGATAACTGCTTGAATCGGGAGGTGGAGGTTGCAGTGAGCCGAGATTGTGCCACTGCACTCCAGCCTGGGCGACAAGAGCGAAACTGCCTCAAAAAACAAACAATTAAAACAGCCTGGTGCAGTGGCTCATGCCTGTAATCCCAGCACTTTGGGAGGCCGAGGCAGAAGGATCACTTGAGGTCAGGAGTTCAACTGGCCCACATGGTGACACCTTGTCTCCGATAAAAACACAAAATTAGCTGGGTGTGGTGGCACATGCCTGTAATCCCAGCTACTTGGGAGGCTGAGGCAGGAGAATCGCTTGAACCTGGAGGTGGAAGTTGCAACGAGCCGAGACTGCACCACTGCACTCCAGCCTAGGTGACAGTGAGACTCTGCCTAAAAAACAAAACAAAACAAACAAAAAATTAAGAGTATTTTCTTCAGTGTGCCCTTTATGTTTAAAAAAAAAAGAAAGAAAAAGAAGTATTTTCCTGATTAATTCTTACTATAAACTCTTTCATCAAATTAGTGCCAGCATTCCAAAACCACCGAGATCTCCACATTACAAAAAGAGCAACGCCTGCTCACGACGAGCCGCACCTGTCACCCGTCACCCGTCACCAGCACCCTTTCATTCACTATCGCAAGCATGTAATTCCTTCCAGGGACAGCAGGGGGCACTCTGTGACCCTTTAAAAGCCAACACTTGACTCCACTCCTGGTGTCTTCCACTCCAGCTCTTAAGAAAGCCATGACAGATGATAACTCAATACTCACATCCAACAATACAAAATTAAGCATCTGGTAATGTTGACAGTTATGAAGCCTACTCAGTCAATAAACAACAAACAGTTTAATTAAAGAATCCATTACACAGATTACAATTATCTAAACTACTCCAACCCCAGGACATTTTATCAAAGCAATTTAATTTACATAAGCAAGTTTGACAAGGTCAACAGGAGAAAGTTCAGGAAGTCTGGAAAAAACATAAAGACATAAATCATACTCAATCTAATTAAAATCCGTCTCATTTCACTCTCACCAGGACTCCTCACCCAAACAAATTAACAAACAAATGAAAGAGTTAACTGAATGGCCTCAGCAACAAATCAGCTCCGCTCATAACCTCATGCTCTATGCGCCTATAGACTGTGGACCTGCTTTTGTTTTTTAATTATAGGATTTAGATATGAAAATGCACTCAAACCCACATCAGTAATAGACAGGAGTAAGCCGTCCACTGATATCATGTGGGGAACAGTGAGCCCTCCCGGGAAAACACCAGCCCATGATGAAAACAGCACGCAGCTCTAGGCAGCAGAGTCTCTCTGGGGAAAACACAGCCACAGGTGGAGTGCCTCCTGATGACTGAAACCATCCCTTCGCTCACCCACGAGAAAAGCCATTCCTTTATGCACCCAAGGGAACACAAAAGATCACTAAACGCTGTAAAAAGACACTCCATCGGCCGGGCGCGGTGGCTCAAGCCTGTAATCCCAGCACTTTGGGAGGCCGAGGCGGGTGGATCACGAGGTCAGGAGATCGAGACCATCCTGGCTAACACGGTGAAACCCTGTCTCTACTAAAAATACAAAAAAAAAAAAAAAAAAAAAAGAGACACTCCATCGGCCGGGCGCGGTGGCTCATGCCTGTAATCCCAGCACTTTGGGAGGCTGAGGCGGGCGGATCACGAGGCCAGGAGATCGAGACCATCCTGGCTAACACGGTGAAACCCTGTCTCTACTGAAAATACAAAACAAAAAATTAGCCTGGCGTGGTGGCGGGCACCTGTAGTCCCAGCTACTCGGGAGGCTGGGACAGGAGAATGGGTGAACCCAGGAGACGGAGCTTGCAGTGAGCCGAGACCGCGCCACTGTACTCCATGTACTCCAGCCTGGGCGACAAGAGCCAGACTCTATCTCAAAAAAAAAAAAAAAGATACTCCATCACCAGGCTGATTACCAAGAGCCACAGCTCCAATAGACAGACGCTCCCGGACATCTTGTCTGACATTATTTAGTGAACGTTTTGTTTTCTGTTGTTCTAAAATGCCAACTTGGGAGAGCAACAGAGAAAATGCAATATAAAAACACAGCATGCTATCTCCTTGACAACCTAAAATGCAGTCACTTAAATGAAGTGAGATCTCCGGAACACTCGCTTTGACACTTATTTGGACAATATTTTCACATATTCATTTAGGCACTCATTGTTTCCAACCAAGAGACTATGACTAAGGATTTCATTCAACTTGATGTATCAGAAAATAGGGTAAAATGTCAAGGGAAACAGAAAGGGAAGGAAAGCTGAAAGTTTGGACAATGGATTATATTATTTCATATTTAATTTTTCAGTTTATACAATTATGTAATTTCAGGTAACAGACCAGTGAAAGAAAAGAGAAGAGCGAAAGCTTTAGCAAAATTTAGCTACAAGGGCCGGGCGCGGTGGCTCAAGCCTGTAATCCCAGCACTTTGGGAGGCCGAGACGGGCGGATCACGAGGTCAGGAGATCGAGACCATCCTGGCTAACACGGTGAAACCCCGTCTCTACTAAAAAATACAAAAAACTAGCCGGGCGCGGTGGCGGGCGCCTGTAGTCCCAGCTACTCGGGAGGCTGAGGCAGGAGAATGGCGTGAACCCGGGAGGCGGAGCTTGCAGTGAGCTGAGATCCGGCCACTGCACTCCAGCCTGGGCGACAGAGCCAGACTCTGTCTCAAAAAAAAAAAAAAAAAAAAATTTAGCTACAAGATAACACAAAGCAAGGGAGGTAACAAATTCTCTCCCCACCATCGCCTTTAAAGGAACACCTTGCGAAGTTATTTACATTAGCAGAAGCAGCTGTTTTCCCAGAGCTCAGCATAATTAAAGCTCAGCCACCACCATCTGAGGTGCTTGAATATATCTGCTGTGACTTGCCTCTCCCTGAGGAGCTGTAGCTGAAACCGATTTGCTAGTTTCATCAATTCAGTCAGGAACACATCATCCTCTCTGAACTCCAACTCATCTGTATAGATCCAGCGAAGCATTGTCATCGTCACCTCAGGGTTAGCATCTGGTTAAAGAAAAAAAGTAGAGAGAACAACTGAAAAAGCATGGAATGACATGCTTAGACTTTCTCGAGGGATCCCTAAAATTTGAGGCTAATAAAGTAAATGACAGTACACCTAACTTAAAGGAATATTACACAGCCATTAAAAACGGTGACTCGGCTGGGTGCAGTGGCTCACGCCTACAATCCCAGCACTTTAGGAGGCCGAGGTGGGTGGATCACCTGAGGTCAAGAGTTGCGGACCAGCCTGACCAACATGCTGAAACCCCGTCTCTACTAAAAACATACAAAAAATTAGCCGGGCGTGGTGGTACACACCTATAATCCCAGCTACTCAGGAGGCTGAGGCAGGAGAACTGCCTGAACCTGGGAGGCAGAGGTTGCAGTGAGCAGAGATCGAGCCACTGCACTCCAGCCTGGGTGACAGAGGGAGACTCCGTCTCAAAATAAATAAATAAATAAATAAATAAATAAATAAAATGGTGACTCAGCAGTCTGGGCAGCATCTGACTCTAAAGTTTTGCAGTGGGCAGTGAGTGGGGAAATGAACCTACGAAAGATACATGGAGTAAATTGGGGAAAATATTTGAAACATACGACAAAGATTTAATCTTTTTTTTTTCTTTTGAGACAGGGTCTCACTATGTCACCCAGGCTGGCATGCAGTGGCACAATCACGCCTCACTGAGGCCTCGAACTCCCTGGGCTCAAGTGATCCTTCCACCTCAGCCTCCTGAGTAGCTGGGACCACAGATGCATGCTAGCATGCCAGGTTAATTTTTGGATTTTTTGTAGAGACAGGGTTTTGCCAAGTTGCTCAGGCTGGTCTTGAAATCCTGGGCTCAAACAATCCACCTGCCTCAGCCTCCTAAAGGGTTAGGATTATAGGCGTGAGCCGCTTCACCCAGCCTGAGTTAGACCTTACAAATAAAAATACAAAGATGTCTATCTATCTTTTCCAGTGGAAAAATGGGCAATGGATACAAACAGGTAATTCACAAAGATAAATAAATAATGGCCAATAAACCTTATCGATAACCAAATACGAACTGAAACCAGAGTATTCTTTTTATCTCACAGACTAGCAAAGATGTTTTAAAGAACATAACCTTTCATACAGCAACTACATATGTAGATATTATCTGAAGAAAATAACTGGACAAATACAGAAAAATGTACTAAGATGCTCAGCACAGTATTATTAATGGAAAAACTAGAACAAAAATCTTAAGAGTCCAACAATGGAGAACTAATTAAATAAATTATGATATACATACACACTGAAAAAATGCAATTAAAACTAGATAGACATATATTCAACATAAGATATTTACTACATAGGCTTTTTGAAAAGTAAGCTAAAAATACTTGTATGAGATCTCATTGGCTGGGTGCAGTGGCTCCTGCCTATAATCTCAATGCTTTGGGAGGCCAAGGTGGGCGGACGGCTGGAGCCCAGGAATTCAACACCAGTGCGGGCAACATGGTGAAACCCTGTCTTTACAAAAAATACAAAAATTATATCAAAATCTCAGAAATCACCACTAAAGAACTTAGCCATGTAACCAAATACCACCTGTTCCCCAAAAACTACAGAAGTAAGAAAAAATTAAACAAAATAAAACCAAAAAATATAAAAATTAGCTAGGCACATGCCATTAGTGGTGGCATGTGTCTGCAGTTCCAGCTGCTCAGGGGGCCGACGTGGGAAGAGAAACTGAGCCTGGGAGGATGAGGCAGTACCGAGCGGTGATTGCACCACTGCACTTCAGCATGGGTGACAGAGCAAGACCCTGTCAAAAAAAAAAAAAAGAGAGAAAAACAAAAGAGAAAGAAAAAAAACCGGGTCTTGCTTTTTGTTAGATATACTTGTGTGTATATGCATGCATACATATATATATAAAATACCTACACACACTACATACATGGGGAGGCAGACACATTTTTCTGTGTCTGTCTCACAAGAGATTGGAAGGATATATACTAAAATACCAATGCAGGTGGAATTTATAACTAATTTTTCTTTTAGCTTAATTTTACTTTTAGCTTTATTTTTATTTAAGGAACACGCATTACTTGTGCAATCTTTTTAAGTTAAAATAAAGACTGTACAGCAACTTGGGGAAATGCTTGGGATGAGAATCACCGTATAAAATACCTAAACTATTATTTCAACCAGAGTTAACTCTTGATTAGTCAGAAGAAGAAGAGTGACAGTCAGAGGAATACTTAAAATCATGGTCAACACAAGTAATTCTCACAGTGTGGTCCTGGGCTAGGAGACTCAGCCTCATCTGAGAACTGATTAGAAATCTGATTCTCAGTCCTACCCCAGACCTGCTGAATGAGAAACCAGAGATGGGGCCCAGCATGTGTCCTAACAAGTCCTCCACGTGATTCTGAGGCTCACTAAGGTTTCAGAAACCATACTCGATTCTTGATTACCTAAGAAAGGTGCAACAAGGACCAGGAACGCCTTATTAACTTCATAATTAGGAAATGGCTCATTAGCTCTGATTAATCTCCTTTCCAACTAGAGTGCGGAGGAGGAGTTTGAAGGGGGCAATGTCAAGTGAGTGGACTTGAAGACCTCGACTTACCTGCAACCAGGTTAATTCACCATCATCTCCTAAAACAACCAGATATTAAAAGTAAAAAAAAGAAAAAAAAAAAAGAAAAAGTGAAATACACTAAAATGATAATATTGTAGTCACTATGTTAAGGTTTTTCTTTTTTCTCTCACTGAATAATGTAGTAATAGCACTTTTTTTTTTCTTTCGAGACAGAGTTTCGCTCTTGTCGCCCAGGCTGGAGTGCAATGGCACGACCTGGTCTCACTGCAACCTCTGCCTCCTGGGTTCAAGAGATTCTCCTGCCTCAGACTACTGACGCAGCTGGGATTACATGCGCCGGCCGCCATGCCCAGCTAATTTTTTTGTATTTTTAGTTGAGATGCAGTTTCACCATGTTAGCCAGACTGGTTTTGAACTCCTGACCTCAGGGGATCCACCTGCCTCGGCCTCCCCAAGTGCTAGGATTACAGGCATGAGCCACCATGCCCGGCCAGTAATAGCACTTTTAAAATGTTTTAAAAGAGAAAACATTTTAACATCAGACAGAAAGCTAATCAGATTTATTTAAACAATTAACTTAGGAGGTACTTCGGCTAAGCTGTCTAAGGTCTCCATCGCAGATCTTGGAAGTAGGCTGAATTTCTAAGCAGGCTTTGTAAATTGGGTTCAATACCTCAGTAATCATCTTAATGAAAAAAAAAAAAAATGTAGGCCATGTGATTTGTCCAGAGCAACGAAAAATGCCAAAACACATCCTACTGCTCTCACACGGCCTGATTTTGAAGATGGCTTGTTCCTAACTGCTGAGAGAATCCCCAGTACCACCGCCCTCAAACACCTTCCCTGCCGTAGCAGTTTCTTCAATACTATTTGAAAATTTGCCTGGTTAAACTTGACCTGTACAAATAATAAACCATAACCTAGATTATTTTTAAAAAAATGTTTTTAACTACTTTCAGTAGGGATTTCCTGGGAGGGCTTGATATTTCACACAAAATGAGGTTCAAGTGATTTACGAGCTTTCCCACTCCTGCCGTGACTCTTCCCCTCATCTACAACATATATTGAGGATAAATTCACTCTGTGACTCAGATGAAGCAGCCAGTGGTATAAGGGTAGGCAGAGAACAATGAACAGGAAGGACGGTGTGTGCTGCAACTGTGCACTTTTGGGTAAATCATTCAGCCTGTCTGCTTCCAATCTACTTAAGCAAGTGGCTATAAAAGTCAGATAACTGCATAAAACAGGAGCTCTCTCTAAAAGGAGTAGACTCAGAAGAGAAAGCAGTTGGCCCCGAGTCCTGTGTGATGGAGGTAATCATCCCCTCAGAAGGCCTGGCACACAAGCCAGAAAAATCTCTGACTTACAGGATGAAAGGTAAAAATAACACTCAGACTTCTGACTTTGTTTCACTGCAGCCCAGGATGCATGTAAATATACTTTGGAGACCTTAGGATTTTCCCTGTGGCCTAGCTTTTTGTTTTGGTTTGATTTTTAAATAAATGTTTTACAAGACATCTGAAATGGATGGGAATAAACCGATCTGTATGCAATTAACCTTTAAATGAAACATACCGAGTAAACTGACTTTGCTTTTTACTTTATTTAGGGACAGAGCCACTGTTGTCCAGGTTGGAGTACAATGGTGCAATCATGGCTCACTACAGCCTCGATCTCCCAGGCTCAATCGATTCTCCCACCTGAGCCTGCCGAGTAAATGGGACTATAGACACATACCACTGTGCCTGGCTAATTTTTGCATTTTTAGTAGAGACGGAGTTTCGTCATGTTGCCCAGGCTGGTCTTGAACTCTTGGCCTTAAGCAATCCTCCTGCCTTGGCCTCCCAAAGTGCTGGGATTACAGGCATAAGCCACAGCACCTGGCTGACTTTGTTTTTTTAATCCTCTATTTTTAATCTGTGAAAAGCTGAGAAAGGTGTTTTGAATCTCCTGTTACGACTCTGGTTTAATTAAATTCTCTGAGTTTCCAACTGTTTTTTTCTTTTCTTTTTATTTGGGTCAGAGTCTCACTCTGTTACCCAGGCTGGAGTGCAGTGGCACATTCTCGGCTCACTGCAACCTCCACGTCCCAATTCAAGCGATTCTCCTGCCTCAGACTCCCAAGTAGCTGAGACTACAGGAGTGTGTCACCACACCCAGCTAATTTTTGTATGTTTGTAGAGATGAGGTTTTGCCATGTTAGCCAGGCTGGTCTCAAACTCCTCACCTTACGTGATCGGCCCACTGTGGCCTCCCAACGTGCTGGGATTACAGGTGTGAGCCACCATGCCCAGCCCTATTTTTTTTCTTAATCTACTTCACGTAAGTTTTTGCTTCCCCTACTCTGGACGATGCCACCGAGCCTGCGGCGGCGCGCTCTGGAGGTCTGAAGCTGCTACTGGCTGCCACGGGCCAGCGGCTTGATGAGTT